TGGGATGAATTGGTGTTTCAAGGTTATCACCAACGTAAGTCAACATACGTCTTTGATATTCTTGAAATTGACCCAAAAACCTTTTTCGATACGCGACCACATCTGGCCTTTCGTGGTCATCAAAGTAAAGCCCTTGTTGATAAACAGTGGGTGTGAATCCGAGATATCAAATCCATCTTTGAGCAGTTCGCTCTCGAATATCAACTACATCCCTGAGCTCCAAGTTAATATGCAATTGTGTTCGAACCCAATGCGATAATGTTGTTCCACTAATGGAGTCTGACGTCTGCGATTGCAGCCACGTTAGACAATGATTTTGAACGTCTTCATCGTTGACCAAGGACTTTGTCTTAACATGACATCCCTGATGTGAAGCAGGCAACGCTTGGTTTTCAATGTAGAATTTGGCCCACTCGCGGAGCTTTCTAGCTCTGTGGTCATTTGCACCATTGTTTGATGGCATCATGCTCGAAACGACCGATAAAGAGCTTTCCATTTTGGATGACATGTTCTGCTTCAGCAATAACAGATAACGATGAACTGCGATAGAGCGAATATAGTCGAATTTGCTTAGGCTTAACTGGCGCTCAAACGCGCGGCTCTGCCCAATGTGAGTCTGCTTTTCGAGCATGGCAATTGCTTGATCCATCTTCTCTGATTGAGTCAGTGATCTTTGGGACAGCTGATTAATGTCAGAAGAATCAATATTGGAAATTTGCGGGGTGGCAAAATATTCATGAATTGAGCGACATTTTGAGGCAACATCTTGACGTTCATTGGCCCGAGCCAGACGACGATATTTGGTTGCTCTGTTGTCTGCGGTATAAGCTTTATGAAACTGATTTCCAGCTCCCTCCTTCAACTTAATGGCGCTCTAGGATGCTGGTTCTAAAACAATGTCGTCTTCAATAACAATATAGTCCTGATCGTCATCATCACTGGAAGAAAGCAGCGGTTCATCCTCGGAAGAAACTGCCGGCGCCGCAGCAGCCGCCGGATTTCGAGCACGACGCCTCTCCGCAACGTGCTGGATATGTTTCAGTTGTTTGCCACGACGGTGGCATGAGTGTCTTTCACAGTGATCCCGTCACAAGCAATCCAACAGGGACTCCCCTAAAAAAGTGAAATAAAACTGCGCAAAATTAATGTCCGTGACTGTGCTCAAAAAAATATTGTTGACAATCTAAAATTGCGGTCGATTTTGATGCGTTTTCACAAATGTTTGGTCTCTCTATCAATTTCAAAGTGCTAAACGTCAGCAAAAAACATATTTTGCAAAAGTCTCTTTATATTCAGATCGCTATTGATGGGATCTGTCGATTTATGAAGAGATTGCTCAGGTCCAGGTCCTGAGCAAAATCCTTAGGAAATCTGCGCGGTCCCATACAAATATTGTAGAGTTAAGATGTCCGC